GCGCAGAGGCAGAGGGGTTGGCATTTCAGAGTCGAAAACTGCACAAAGATGTGCCGTACCGGTGTGCTACGGCGAGGTTTGTAGCCAGAAATAACACCGGGGAGATCCGTGGGTATAGTTGGAAGAGTGGCACGAGATTTTGGGCGGACGAACGAGCAAACCTACCAGAAATAGGAATGCCATGGCACGGGCACAGGCTGCTTCTCGTCACCCATTATCTTTGTGTGCGGCGGTGGATCCCTTCCCTTCGCCTCGTGCTTTTGTAAACGCACGGTATTGTAAGAGCTGAAGAGCCAGAAAGGAGAAAATTCATAGAATATAAAGCGACTTAGCAACGTGGTACGAAAGTTCTAACCACGCAAATGTATACTGAAGGTCATTACCAGCACTCAGAGCTTAAAAGGAAATACCCAGTTATCCTTAGGGAAAGTTATAATTGATGAGGGGCAGCTGAGGCTCACTTACTGTTTTTTATTCTCTTCCCATCTCATCACAAGCCCAGCTAGAATTCCAAGGGCTACTAGGAGAACTAACAAACAAAGAAGCAAAAAAAAATTTAAAAATAAACAACACGTTTGGTATGTAATTTAATACTGCAGTTTGGTAAAAGACTGGCAGCAAAATTCTCTGCTCGGGGGCTGACTGTCACCACGCAGAGGGTCCCGCTCAGCCACAACAATGCAAACCCCCTCTGTGCCTCTGGAGCACAGAACCCACTGCGAAGCGCGGTGCCGTGCTGATCTTAAGGGTGGGATCCTCATTTGCCTAGTGCTTTATGGACTGCACCTGTTTGTTTTGTATTTTAAACACACTCACCATTTTTAGTACTCGATCTCTTTTGCAACAAGGATGTTCCAAGCTTTACTAATCTCTTTTTTTTTTTTTCCTAATGTCTGCCACGGCCTTTTAAAGCAACTTTATCAATTAAAGAGCGACAGGCTGTGCAGTTTTTGGTTGGCTTCTTACACTGCCTTCTTTGGCTTCTCCCATTTCATCCTCGATTGATGTAACCTTTAATACTAAGACACAGCCAGTCCATCCCATTGCTTGCAATGCTGCTGCATTACCCAGCAGCAGAGAACCCCTGAGCCCTGAGCAGAGACCCTCACTACTGGGGGCAGTGAAATGAATACCCCAAAACCACTGACTCCAGGTATTTAAGAGCAAACAGCAGCTTTGGGTTAGGAAAGTATATTTTCAATTTTAAACTACTTACCAATGCAACTAGGGATGAGGATACTTGCTAGAGAAGAAAATAAAGAAATTGATGTTAAAAAACCAAAGCCAGCAATGCTGATAACTAAACAGGGAAGTTCCTGAGTCTATGCCCACAGAAAAACATTATTCAAACCCAGATAACCATAACACTGCTGAGAAGACAAAACGCTATAAAACAATCTGTCATTAAGTACTACACACATCATTTATGCTTTTTTGAGTCCCTCACCCCACTCCTTGCCACCAAGAAAGCTGAGGTCCATAGCTCCAGGCTACCTCCACCCTTAACAATGTCCAAATACAGTCAAGATAATGTCAGTGGTTTCTACTGAGCTGCTCAGCTGTATGAAAGGAGATTCCAGCACCAAAAATCCTACCAAAAATCATGTCAGCTAAGGAGTCACTCAGCTGGGAGCGGAGAGAAAAGGAGATTAGACCAGGGAATAAAGCTGTGTGAAGCCCTGAGAAACTGGAAGATGGACCCACCAAAAGAAATGAAGGTGGCACAATGAGAGCAGAAATCCAACGGCTCGTGAAGCCACAGGCACACAACGTGGGTGCAATTATAGCAATTAAAATGAGCCTGAGGCAGAAAACCTCTCCAGGACTCTTACCTAGCCAGTAAGGGTTCTCTGCTATCTTCTCTTCCACGGTTTGGTTTATCACTGCTGTGGTGCTAACTAGAGAGAGAGAAAAAATAAAGGAAACCCACTCAAAATTACATTTTATATGATTCTCTGTTTATACATAATATAGAAAATACTTCAGTGAGGAGTAAATGTGGCATGGGCAGGTGGCCTCTGACCTGTCTGCCTGTGGCTACGACAGTGAGAGCTGTGGGAGAGTCACACGAGGACCTCCTGGTGACACTACCAGCCTTACGGAGAGCGGGCAGTCTGCTGTCCCTCTTGGCTTTACTGCCCGCCTGTTGCTGGACACTGGATATAAATCCATTCCGAGGCTTAGTCCACGAGCTTTGCAGTTACTGATACACTTTGTGTTTTGTTTATTAAAATTCTGCCTGTTTCTCTCGAAGGGAAAAATGTAAAACTGCACACGACTGTGCTCGTGTTGTTCTTCAGCACAGCCTGGCACCTGGCAGAGCACAGACCTGCTGACCATCACTACTGCACGCAGGTGCTGCTCCCCTGGAAAAAACCCTACGGGAACACCCATCCAGGCTGGGGCCCTTCCCTCTCTGAGAGAAGGGAATTAGGACTAATTAACTACACAGCAAGAAAAACTACTCAAGAACAGGCTGATTATCCAGCAGCGCTTACCTCTGCACTCGGGAGGAGGCCCACTCCAGATGCCATCGACGCTGTTCTCCGTTGTACAACGAAGAGTTTCATTTCCCACCAGCTGGAGCCCAGGGTCACACGTGTACATCACGACCGAGTTGTACGGGAACCCCTCCATACCGTTGCCACTGTGCTTCCCATCGGGAATAGCGGGAGGCGGAGGACAAAAAATAGCTAGGGGAGAAAAAGAGAAGAGTTCAGGAGGTGAACAGAATAGTGAATAGTTCAGAATTAAAGAATGGGTTGGGTTGGAAGGGACCTTCAAGATCATCCAGTTCCAACCCCCCTGCCATGGGCAGGGACACCTTCCACTACACCAGGCTGCTCAAAGCCCCATCCAACCTGGCCTTGAACACTTCCAGGGATGGGGCATCCACAGCTTCTCTGGGCAACCTGTGCCAGTGCCTCACCGCCCTCAGAGGGAAGAATTTCTTCCTTAGATCTAATAAAAATCTCCCCTCTTTCAGTTTAAAGCCATTGCCCCTTGTCCTTTCCAGTCAAGCACTGGACAACTTCACTTACCCCAACAAGCTGGAAGTTGACTCCAGGCAACTTCATCTCCGCTTAGGGAACACCAGATGAAAGGTGATGCTCCCTTTAACGTGTACCTGCAGGGGTAAAAGGCACATCAGCAAATCGGTTTGTCATCACCAACCAAGAACATGTCACCCCACAGAGGTGCCCAGGACGGGACAGGCAGAGTCCCTTGTCCTTGCGTGCACACCAGTGACTCTGGCCAGGTGACGGGGATGCCGTGGGCAGCTGCCTTCACACTCACCCACGGTTACAAACAATATCTGCTTTTCCACCGAACAGATGATCGTTTGCAGTAACTCTGCCATGTTCTGGATTTGGCGGAATACCACAAGATTTCCCTAAAAAAGAATAAGATTATCCTTAGGACACTACGAGGACAGGGTAAAAACCCACAGACATACTTTTCACAACAGTATGCCAATGTCAAATCAGGCATCTGATGGTATTTCATGCTAAATGTCATTAAAAAACCCCAATCCTTAAATACAAATCAGACGTGGCACTCCGAACACAGCGCTACGGATGCAGCTGTGGGAGGATGTTGGAGAAAATGAAATGAGATGGAGACACTCACTCTGACACAGCTGGGGAACTTCTGACCATGTTAAATTGTCAAGACAAGTGCTGGTGAGGAGCTGGCCTGTGGTATTCTTATAGCCTGGGCGGCAAATGTACCTCACCGTGGTACCAACAGCATAAAAATTCTGGATTTCATCTTCCGGTAATATTCTGGCGAAACGCAGACGTAGCGGGCCCGGACAACTACCTACCAACAAGGAACACAACCAAAGTGTGCACTTACACGGCAAAAATAACAGCATTTTGCATTCAACTATGGATAAATATAAATCCAAGTGATAACGCAAATCCCCAGTGCCAAACCTTCCCCCTCGGTTAACTCTTGCATCAGCAGCAGCTGTGCCAGCACTTTGCCACCACGGTCCTGCCCCTCTCCTCTGCTTCCCCAAGCGATTGATGATCGATGGTGCACAAGCACCAGCACACGGCTCCAATGGACTCAGCAGAATTAGGAAGAAGGGACAGCACGAGATTCTCTGACCAGCAACTCGATCGTGTGTCACTTCGGGTGAGGAAACACTCGAAACAGCGATTGCTAAAGCGGTACATATTTTCGCAAGCGGCACGCATCTCATTTCAGAGAAAGTGAAATACTTACGCCCACAAAACTCCTGGAGGTTGGACCACCTGGAGTTTGCAAGGCACTGCACGGTGTCCGAGAGCAAGGGGCGCTTCACGTAACCCGGCAGGCACCTGTACGTCACTCTGGAGCCAACACTGAAACTTCCCTGATGTTTAGCGTCTCCCAGGGGCTCTGCGTGGCTGACGTTTGGCAACGGCCCACAGCCACCTGCAGCAAAATAAACCAGGATTTAGTGGGGCTTCTACTAAAGCTCCCTGGGCAGGGCACAGCACAAAGGCACAAGCACGCAGGGGTCCACAGGAGAGCGTGGCACACGCACCCACGCCACGCACGGAGCACACACGGACATGGAGCGGACACGGAGCGCACATGAAGCACACACATACACTCACATGGAGAACACACACACGGAGCACACACAGAGCACACACACGGAGCACACACACGGAGCACACGCAAACATAGAGCACGCATGCAGCACAGGCACACGGAGTGCACACGGGCACACGCACACGGAGCGCACATGGAGTGCACACAGAACACACGTACACAAAGCACGCATGGAGCACACACACACGCAGCACACATGGAGCACCCATGCACGCAGAGCACACGCACGCACACGGAGCACACACACACGCACACAGAACACACATGGAGCACACATGCACACACGGAGCACACACGCACACAAAGCACACACGCACACAAAGCACACACACACATGCACATGGAGCACACACGGAGCACATGGAGCACGCACAGAGCACACACACACGCACACGGAACACACATAGGGCACACACACAGAGCACACGCGAGGCATACACAGAACACGCACACAGAGCACACACGGAGCACACACGGGGCACACACAGGGCACACA